TGCATCATCACTTCAACAGCGCATGCCACATCAGCTGCACCCGCTCTAGCTGAGGGACCCACACTCCTAAATGTCGGATCGAATGCTACCAATTGCTTGTAATTCTTCAGGAGTGCAACCTGCCATGGCATGGACCCAAACGCGTCCGAAGAAAGCGACTTGACGAATGAAGGAAAACTATGTGGCCCGACGCGCTGGAATCCGCTATTTATTGCGGCCTGGGTCACTAATATCCGAACACATGCCAGGTTTGGATCTCGGGATGATGTCTTCACCGTCTGCGTGGAAGATGTTTGCTCTGAAGACTGGCTTTGACCCGAAATATTAGACGAATTAGACGACCAGGCGTGCGAAGACTGACCTGGGCCTTGGCCCAAGACGAAGATATTCTGTACTGGTGCATCATCGGGCGACACGGTTGCGGTATCGTCGAATATTGTTGTTGGTGTCTCGGGGTTTCCTTGTTGATTTATCAACTCATCAACCGAACCAGACTCCAACGGTTTCGGTTTTTGAACGACCTGCGTAGTAAAGGTTGCTTGACTTGGCCGGGGTGTACCTCGATCAGAGTTTCGAAGAGTACGTTGAGTCCAACCTTCACGGAAGATATCGCATAGTTCCCAACAAGCCTGAACTGCAGAACCAAGCAATTCCTCACCTAGCCTTTTACCTTCTTTGATACTCTGACGTATGCTGAAAAGCATTTCTGCTAGGGACCAGCAGGCGCTCAAAAGGGAGTCTGTTTCTGATACAAGTGTCCTTTGTTTCATCAGGCGGTGACATATAGTGATGTAGAAGTCCAAGGTTCTTTCTCTGAAAGCATCTGGGAGGTTACGGTCGTGTGTATTGTACAGATGATTGTTCAGCTCGAAGCTAACACGGAGAACAGAATCGGCATTCTCGTCGTTTCTGACGCGGGTCTCGAATAGTGTTTGGCAGAAGTCTCTGCAAAGGTCAAGCGTTGGGTTGATTTGCGGTGCACGATCATCATTATGACTGTCGTACAATTCCTGGCACAATCGCCAGCACGATCTCCAGACGTCCTCCCGAGTATCCACAGTGCATCCATGACGTTCACGGTGTATGGAGCTTAGCGTTGCCAGTGTATTGCACAGAGCCCAGCATTCAGCCAGAGCTGCTTGTAAAGCACGAATCTCTGATTCTTCATCAGACAATTGTACAACTTGTGAGTGGTGACTTTCGGGTTTCCCATTTGTATGTTGGCCAGCCTCTTCAGCATTCGCATTTTTTGAGGAAGCCAGTTCTCTATTGACCGAGGGCCTGGTGAATAATGGCTGTTCCTCGCAGTGATTTACGGCCATTTCTGATACTTTATGACTGGTGGAATGGACATATTTACCAATGTCGAGGAACTCCTGCCTTGTTTGTGCACGTGGGGTTGCTCGTTCAAACCAGTCTCTGGCTGGTTGAATCGATGTAGTAGTCAGCGGCGGTGGTGATGTCGGACCATATTGATTCTCCTGATGTCCGTCAGTACATCCATGTACAATGACCAGAGGATCAGTACCTTGGCCGACTGTTCAGGTCCAGTGCTCACGGAAGGAGGTGCCACCACGTTTGATGCTAAGGTTTCTGTTCCATCTGACTCTGACTGTGAAGGGCTGCTAAAGTATTGCACGCCATTTACCTGTTTATACCAACTATAGTTAACCGTGCAGTTCACACAGCAGATGAGGTGCATTGGATGGGGGTCACTCACAAACTCGCCGAACCCAGTAGGTGCATGTATCACAGACTTTGGAGGCTCGTCCTCATCCGACTTTGTTGGGTTGCTGTTGGAAATCGCATTCATTGGCTGTATCTTACCAACACATCTAAAGTCAATGTAAAATTCGGATTTATACTAATCACTCTTGCGTCGGAGAAACTTGCACATACTGTAAGTTCAGTTTTAGTGGTATTGGGTGTGTGCGACGACTGGGTTGTTGCTGTCGGAGGCACTGCTTTAGGTTGAGTGTCAGATATGTGAATATCATTGACGACCGACTTTTTAGTGTGGCTAGGTTGATTGGGTCTTGAAGGTGACTCTTCACTGTATTTTACCCCTTCGTCAGATGAGCTGCTTATACTTCCGTCGGGCCTGGAATGATTAACATAGATATTGGTTGGCAACGTGTTTTATAACTTACATCTTGAAGACTATTCGCGAAGCAAGATACGAGCAATGAATGTCCAATCCTCGTACAAGGGAGTCAGAATGATAATCATGTTGTGGCCTATGATGATTGATTTAGCAATCCGAGTTGAGATCGACTCATGGCGCATAGGAGTCCAAGCTTAGTGGAGGCGGATGAAGGTGAATAGTAATTAGTTAGTATCCGTGCTGTCGGTTGGTTGACTAACGCCAGCGGGGTTGAGCTCATCCTAACTGAAGGGTGCTCTATAATACCTGATAGTACCGCGCTTCCTGTTCCTAGTGAGCTTAGCCTGTGATACGCTATGCATGAGGCTAGTTGGTAGGCCTATCATGTACGAGGTACAGGCTTTCCAGCCCCTTCATTGCTACAGTAAATTCGTATGTGGCACACACATATTAATTGCCCTGATCTTCTCAGATTATCACCCAAGACAAGCATGCAAAGGCAACGATATGTACGGTTCGAGTGCTTACTCCGCCTAGACCACTTTGTATTGGCTGGATAGATGGCATTCGAGGAATAATGAATTATCAATGATTAATTTTAGAAGTCCCTTGGTTTTGAACTGACAAACAAGAACACAAAACACAATCTTATTGAGAGCATACGAAGCATATCATTAACCAGTACTGGAAAATAGCCGCTGGAGTGTGATGATGAGCAACAAATCGTGACCTTTGACCAAGGCATTAGATAACAAACAGCCATTGGCCATAAGTACTAGTTGTAGGTGTAGTAAGTAGCACTATGGTGGGGTACCCCGGCTTATTATTGGTCCGTGTACAATGGATGTTATGGGGTCGTACTACTCGGCGCTTCCACACGCAATTACGATCTTAGCCTATTGTACTCCGTAGTATCTTGTATTTAGCCCACCATCATGTGAACAGAACAACAGACAGCTGCCCAATGGCGCGGTTTCCTGGTATTTGCACACTGTGCCCTGTGCCTTCACCAGCTCGCTTTTCGTTATGCGATTGGCAGGAGAAGTATCGGGACTGCAGTACTACTGACACTCGACAAATCAGAGACGGACAGTGAGCGAAGCACGGCGCAAGAAGGCACACCTGTTTGATTAGGTTTGACTTAAGACTATCACGCAGTAGCTATACGGCTCCACCTCTTATCTCTAAAGATCCCGCCGTGCGCACTTACATGGCTTATCAGCCCGGAGCACCTGATATATTAAGAGCTTTGGCCGGTAGTTCACGCAGCGATTGATCTCATTCGTCCTCCCGCTAATCACGAGTATTTGCGGTCGATAGGCACTAGTAGTACTGTTTCAGACCAGGCCAGATGCCATTTTGAGATGAGCTTTACCTACAGCCCAGCCAGTGTAACCTGCCAGTGGTACTTGAACAATGTATATAATCACTAGGCTTAAAGTATTGCCATACTGGCCCCCGCGGTTCATAGATATCGTTCGATTAAACCGTGAAGTCGATAATGAAAGTTTAGCTGCTCTGATATACATGATCGCTACTCCGTACTCGATCATATTTGACCCATGAGACCAAATTTGGCCCAAGCCGCCGAGCGCAGGGATATGTAGCTATTCTTCACCCGCAGACAGAGAAATAGCCATAAGTATGAGTGCAATCAGCGTGCTCAAAGACTTCGGTTAACATGTGTCACACCGTGATAGAGCTGGCAAGACGTTATATGACTCCAAATCAAACGCTGACCTCTTCATAAAGTCCAGGAAGAAACCAAGCAAAGCGTGAGGTGGCAAAAGAGAGAAGAAAGATGAAACATATAGACCGTCCATCCTCTAGCAATGCCATGCAAGCAAACAACCCATTCAGGCCAACGATCTCTGGCAGTGGATTCTGGTTCTGTACAAGGTCGTGAATGTATTGATTGCACCATATGAGGAAGCAACAGAGATATTCCCCCACTTATGGATGTGCGAGTAAAGCTCGTGTTCATATTTGGTTCTTCGCCCGGTCTCTTTCAGTAGGATTATACCTATTGAAAATATGAGTTCCCACGTGCATGTACTTCCAGCCAGGGGTTCACTTACCGTAGGAGTTTCTCTATCAAATCGACATGAGTCATAATCATTCTGCGGCAACAGTACCGCTTGCATCCAAGCTGATCCATGGCGTCACTTTCAAGCTCCAGTTAGTTTGTCGCCGTAGTTAGAAATTCGATTACCAATACCTACCCATCGGGTATACCCTCATCAAGAAGTTGGAGATAACGCTCCCAGAGATCTCCGACAACCTGGAATTTACGTTGCATGAGATTCGAGAAGCGCAATAGGGTATCAAGTGCCACGTACCTTGCCGCAAGAAAAACAGCGGACGGGGATGATCATTTGGTCTGATTGTTTCTTCCGTAAAAAACGTTTCCTGTTGGTAAATTAAGTATAGAGGAGTCAGATTTATCAGAAAGCGTTTGGAATCTTGACAGCCGGAGAAAGGTAGGAATTGATGTTTCTGTCTTGGTCCCTTATTGCTGGTACTCGCCAAAGACAATGAGTGCAGTTTTTGTCTGCCATCGAATTGCCCGAGACGTGCTCCGATTGAACAAACACTAGACCGCAGCCCCACTTGTTGCTTTTCTAGAACCAAAAATACCGCATATATTACTGTTTCTTATTGTTAAATTACCGCTATTCTACAAAGGGAATGACCGCACCTGACAGGATGATAAAAAAAAAAAAAAAAAGTAGACAACGGGACTGGAATTTTGTAGGCCAGGCCGTCATCAACACTATCGACCCTACTACGCCAGTGTATGGACGATTAACATTGGAGCCTTGGAGTCTCTAAGCCTTTATCACAATTAATCAGATTTTTTATAGATTTCTGCCTTTCCCTCCATATCAACTTACCAATGCGCAATACTCAAGACCCAAAACGACCGTCAAAGAGATCCCGAGTTGGCGATGCGGCTTTAGGAAAGACAATGCAGATTGACGATACACGAGTCAAGCGACGTCGCACATCACAAAGCAAGAACGATATCAATAAGGCGCACACGCCAGCCACAAGCAACTCAAAGGAAAAGCATGGGGTCGAAGAGCAGTGTACATTAGCCCGCTCTGTGTCTACTGTACAGAAAAGCGAACCGCAATATGAAACTTGGTCGTCTACCAGCATGGTAGCTGGTCAGTACAGCAACCTAGATCCAATTTTTACGAGTGATGACGAGTAAGTTGAATGCCTACCATGCAACTGAAAAGTCTTCTAAGCTCCTCTCCATGTTAGGTATCTCCTCCTTGGTCTCGAGACTGCAGTCCATGTCTATTCTCTTGCGACTTCGCGCCTTCTTCGAACACTTCCATCAACAGCTGGAGATAGCATAACTGGATATAAACTCTCTCCGGCAAACCCAAACTTCCTCTATGTGTTTACGTTGAGCGGTTCTGTGACCAAGTGGGAGTGGCTCTCTGGCGAACAATGCTCGTCTTGGGAAGTAGGTCACAAGACGATTTCTGTCGACGTGTGCCTTAGTGATTCTGGGAACGATCTATTGCTTTTCATTTTGGAACGCAAGGATGGAAAACGTGTGATCGCGCTCAATGCCTCCCCTAATGACGCCTCACAGTACATGATTATACTCGAAACACATGTTCAGATCACTAACCTCAAGGTTGCATGCCAAGGCCAATTTATTGTAGCATACAGCGACCGGCATGTGTTTTTCGGCTGGACAGGGCTTGTTCAGCCTTCCGATTCTGTTCGTTATATTTGGAAAGAGGTCAACTTGCCTGTCAGCGTCATGTGCATTGATGTTCGGCAATACACAGCGTCGAATCGCCCTGGAGCGCAGGGGTCAAAAGATCGGGATCATGCGGAAAAGGTCGATCTAGTCTTAGGTGAACGAAATGGTTCTATTCTCATATACTATGACATCCTGCGTTTTGTCAAGGATGAGGGAGGCCGTCAACATGAAAGAAACCTCACTCCTCGGCGCCTTCATTGGCATAGGAGTTCTGTGAACAGCGTGCGTTGGTCTAAGGATGGTAGGTCTCCCAACAAGAACATTAAGATAGAGACAATTTCACTGATGAACCTGTTCAACGAAAGGAAACTACATCATAACAGGTGGCCATGAATCGGTCATGGTGCTCTGGCAGCTGGACACCGGTAGAAAACAATTTTTGCCTCATCTTTCGTCTCCGATCGGCAACATAGTTATATCTACAAGCGGGAATCTATATGCCGTCAAATTAGCGGACAACTCGATTATTGTCCTGTCAGCGAGAGAATTACAACCTTTCTCTACCATAACAGGGTTGCAGCTGTGTCCCAAAACTGCAAAGGCTCATGGCAAGATTTCACCTGAAGACCAGCCCCTGTTCGAGTGTGTTCCTGCTGCAATGCATCCACAGAACCTCGATCACCTTATTATAGCTGTCCCCGCCTCTCGTCAGATGACTCAGGAAAGTCACCCCCTGGTCAATGCCTCCATGCTTCAAACCTACGATATCCGTACCAACAGCCATATTTCCCGTCAAGCTCTTGCACGCACCAACGCGACTACGTTGAAGATTGGCCCTGATGGCTCTCACATAGTTACTCCGGACGTTACCCACATCAGTGTTTCCAACGATGGTAAATGGATGGCCACCGTCGACAGTTGGAGCCCCTACATACGAGACATGCAAGCGCTGTATCATGGGGATTCAGGAATTAATCATCCTTCGGATGGCTTCCAGGAAACTTTCCTGAAGTTTTGGAGATGGAACAATACTTCCAGCCTGTGGGAGTTGGTTACCCGAATTGACGGACCCCATTTCTGTGACAAAGGTTCCGTGCGTGTTTTGGATGTTGCAGTACGGGCATACAGCGCGGAGTTTGCGACCATCGGTTCAGATGCAGTCTTGCGTTTTTGGTGCCCGAGTACTAGGCAGCGCAGTGGCTTAAAATCTGACAACCCAGAAGAGCCCATGGAAACCTGGAAATGTCGGAGAGCCATTGATTTGAAAACTTACATCGATGTCGGCATGGCACACTCACTAGGTGCAGCTTCCATAGAATTTTCTCAGGATGGGTCTGTTCTTGCCGTCTGCCTGGGGTCCAATGCATGCCTCAACTCCGGACTTGCTATATTAATCGATGCGCAAAATTGCAGCGTCCGTTACAGCAGAGTCGGTTTATATAAGGGCATGCCCTGCGCGGCTGCGTTTGTCGGGTGCAATCTTGTTATAGCATCCCAAGAGGCAGTCTCCGTATGGGATACAGTTGATGATATTGTCAGGGCAGTCAAATTGCCTGGGTCCGGAAGCGTTTCGTCCAAGCAGCCTCGTTTGCTGGCTGCAAGCTCTGAGACTAATACCTTCGCTGTGTCAGTACAGTGCCCACAGAATCATCAGCATTCAAAGAAGAGCCGTATGATCCGATCCTCTATACAGGTATACGATGTTCCCACATTAGCGTTGCTGTCGGAAACTACCCTTGGGCATCATCCAGTTGCCTTACTATCGGCTATGCACTCGAGCGATTATGTTGTTGTTGATGTTGCGGCCAACGTCCAGCGGATTGGCCGTCTCGATCAGAGCTTCCAGAGCAATGGTCATTCGCGTGACCTTGGTTCTCACCTTAACTCGGGACTTGGAAATCTGTTCGGCCAGCATGGTCGTGGGAAGTCTCAAGATCCACAGCACATTAGTACTGGCTCGGACAATCAAATTCAGCAGAAAGAACTGGCTAACGTCTTCGGTGATGCGCCGCCCTTCGTTATGCCCCCCGCCAACATGATCTTCCGCAATGTGGTAGATGCTCTTTCTAGTTAGTTTCAGTTAATCAGGAAATAAATCTTGAGACAGACTATGATTTTACATCTTTACGTTGCTCTACATATTCAAAACTGTAATTTCACGTCCTTGCTCAGCTCTTAAGAGGAGTTATGATGGCATACTTCAGTATGTTGTTCGGTGCTTACTTTCACTTACGCTGGACAAACTTCGCTGGGGTTCTGCTGGGTCTTCGCAACAGTTCATTATCTCCCCCATTTCCCTCCGTTGCATTCTGTTCTATCGTTTGTATGGATATTCTATATGTTGTGTCATATTTAATTTCATTTCCATTTCCAATCACATTTTTATATATATATAAGTATAGCGGGGGGAGGGTGTGAGGCGAATGGAATGAGATTATCAGAGTATCCCGGCAGCATGCGTTATCTTGAGATACCTAGAATTCTTACTAGTAGGGAGTAGGAGTAGCCCTGTACACCACTGGCACATATGCCCCAGTGCTTTGTATATGTAATCATAAACAAGATCATATCACATACCTAGATCAACTTCACGCTAATCTTCGAATCCTTCTTCGCAATTTGAAGATCCTAGTTCGTAACCACGTTAAAAAGAGCACCCATGTATTTTTAGGTTGTGATCTCCAGGTATCTGGGCATGATTCTGACTGCGAAGTTGAAGGTTGCGGCTTGTCAGATACCTCCTTTTGTCCGTCCTCCAGATCTACGTCATCACCAGTGAGCCTGGTCTGCAGATGCTGTTTCCCCCTTTGCTTTGTTTGCTTTTCTTCTGCCTTCATCTGTTGAGCCTCAAACCTCCATGTTTTAGCTGCCTCCTTCTCTTCGAAAGCCTGACGTGCTGCTTGTACCGTAGCCGCCCGAGCTATAGGGTCCATGCTCGTACGCGTCTTAGATCGGAAAACAAAATCCAAAGATGACCTAGATACCGGTGACGTTGTATCCAAGGTGCTTCCGTTGTCTCGTGAGTATCCGAAAGATGAACGGCCGGTTATATTCGTCTGAGAAACCCCAGGCGACCTCGTGGAAGAGCTATCATGAGTCTGTAGCGATAGTCGGGGTGTCTTGCTTAGATTGGTTGTGCCCGGCTTGAAGGACTCTAATCCTGACTGTGTCGGGGAATTGCTCCCCGCAAATGGATCCTTGGGAGAATCATCGCTCTCAAGTATGGATGCTTGGCACGATTGATTTAATGGTGGCGTATAAGCACGTGGAGCGAGACGCATGGGATGAACATATTGTGAGCCTGGTTTATTCATGGCCGAACTGCTGGCTGTGGACGCTTGGGACATTGCACTTGTAGATTGACGATAAAAAGCCGAGGGGCTTTTCCCCGAGGGAGGATGGCTAATTGTTTCAGTCCCAACTGCTGCCTTGTCGTATTTCGCATAAATGCCTAAGCCTTCCTGTTCGAATGATGACCGCGAAAGGTCGACTGTGGTCGGCGATGAGCCACCATATGATGCTTTCCTGAGTAAGGGCATTCGCGGCATTTTAATCCTCGCTGAGTCGTACTTTCACAATGACAATGATATAAAGCCAGCCTAAGCACCCAATGTAGTAGTTATGGATATATAATCGATACGACTCTTCCAGACGGCTCGTGATGTAAACACGGCGAGTTTGCTCGACAAGATCAAGAGAAACACCCTTCCCTTATGGTGAACTTGATCTTCCAGGTGCAATCAGTGAAGGCGTGCAACTCTCAGAATCGCTGAAATAGGAAGATCAGTGAGGCAGGACTTTATCTTCATTGCGATGCGACCCTATCCGATCCTGTAAACTGGACTGTTTTCAGGCTCACTGAACGAGAATAACTGCGGCCAAACGGACCGGTCGCTTGGTCCTAAAACGTGGAGCGAAGGATGCAACTGAAGTTCGTAGAAGTCGTCTTCGGAAGTGCCGTATGAGCCAGTCGCAAGTTAACTCACTGAGACAGCCGGTTGTCTCGATTTCCAAGCCACTAACAGAAGCGAAAAAGAGAAAAAGAGTTCAGTGGTTCCTTACGCAATGCATTGTCGGCTGAAATGTAACAAAAAAACAGACACACCAAGACACTTGGTACCAGAGAAAGGTAGTACGAAATAGAAAGATGGATAATCCTGATGACAGGGTGAAATGGCAGCGATGAAATACGGTAAGTACAATATGAAAGTCAACAACAGACACTCGAACCCTTCAAAACTCCAAGAGAGCGCGAGGGTAAGACGAGACCAGTACGATAATAGATGAGCCGGCGAAGCAAGTCTTTAAGAGGCAAAGCAATGGTGATCGGTGTCGATATCAGGCATCTCCGTCGGAAAAGGCAAGGGAGTAAGAGGAGATAAAGGAACTGCAACAAGTACCCGGGGGTTGGAGGGGTTGTATGGTTGAAGTGTAAGATGAAGAAAAGTAGGAGATATTGAGGGGGGAGGGAAGCGGGGAGAGAGAGAGAGAGAGAGAGAGAGAGAGAGAGAGAGAGAGAGAGAGAGATGGGCGAGGGAGGAGGAAGGAAGAGGCTAGGAGACGTGATGGTGGTAGTTCGCAGTAGTAGTGGTAGTAGTGAGGTAAATAGTGGAGGGAATTCTAAATCTGGGAAGGCGGCGGTGAAGTCGGCGCGACGCATGCGGATTGCGGAGGCGTTTCTACAACTCGACTAGCCGGCTCTTCCGAACGACGGGCTGACATTTGAATTTTTGCACGACCTCGGATAGTTAGCTAATCATGAGATGATCATAATGATCAAGTTAGCTAGGTTATTAGTGATGATAGTGATGAGATGAGCTCAGAGCAGTTAGGTTAACTGTCTAGAAGGGAACACGATGTATAGAGATGAGAGTCAAACTAACTAGTAGTTAGTTACCTGATCATGTAGGTATACTGACTATGTAGTGCTGATTACGTCTAGACCGACTCGTCAGGTTCCCGACCGGGACAGACCAACGATCTACACTTGCACTTTCCCTTTCCTTCAGCATAGGGCTTCGAAGTACTAGTACTGTCTTGTACGTCTGGAGACGAGGCAGTATCTACTAGTTGGTTGCACTAACCTGACACTCAAGGGAAAGATACTTCCTATAAGTAACCTATGAACGGGTCGCGTTGCAACAAGGGGGCAACAATAAAGCAACGTGACAAGCGAGTACCTATACTGACCATCGCAAAGGTACAAAAGCAGGCTACATGGAGGACCGATATCCATATGAGTATATTTAGGCCAGAAAGCAACCGTCCCTCAATTCCTCTCTTTCTCTTTCGCACGCGCGCTCTCTCTTCTTAGCGAAGGTGGCAGAAGACAATAGACGATAGTACTGAGGCCAAGATGGGATGTTTATCTGTCCACTACCATGCTATATGCGTATCTATCTGAAACCAAGTAGATATTGGCTTATCAAGAGATTGACTTGGGTGCTTACCATTCCTTAACTTCACCTGGCGCCGGTGGCTCAACCCGCACAACTTTATCGCAGTTGAGCAAGCAAAGGGGGTCGTAAGCTAATTTGAGCTACGGGGCGTAGAACGCCTGCATTAGTACGAGTTTCATGTGTTATGGCGGAACATGGATGTATGGCTACTCACCCGGCGCATAGCATCCACTGTAGACTCCCCTAGTTCATGTTGCAGGTAATCCCGCTTGACGAGACCAACTCCGTGCTCGCCAGTAACTGTACCTTCTAGTTCAACAGCCCGCTTTACCATCCGATGAACCACAGCCTCGGCTGTTGCTTTCTCGTCTTTATTGAAGAGGATTATCGCTGCCGCGCGTTAGAGCTCATTCCAATTGGCATGGGGGTATTGAAAGGCAGGTATCCATACCATGAAAATTGCCATCTCCGACATGACCGCACATTCCCGCCAACAACCCACTTTCAGTCATGTCTTGTTTGGTGGCCTCGATGATTTCGGGTAATTTGCTTATAGGGACAGCTACATCAGTCGTCCAAACGTGGTCTTCAGGACCTCGCCTCATAGACATAACGCTCCAAAGTGCCTGTTTCCGGGCGCTCCAGAGTTCTTGCATTTCGCTCTCACCTCGGGCAAACTCGAAGGACCGACCCGCAGTAGAAGAAACAATCTTCTGCACCATGTTTATTTGCTCCTTGACGCCAACAGGCGTACCCGCAAACTTGAAAAATATAGTAGGCGCTTCCTTCCAGTGTCGGCTGGTGGACTGACTTTCGTTGATGCACTTCATCTGCACGTCATCCAAGATCTCGACCCCAGCTACTGGGATGCCTTCTTCCACCACGCGAGTCACGCACTCTGCTGCATTCTGTATTGTCGAGAAACTCGCGACTGCGACATTTTGGCTTTTAGGTTTGACCGTCAGCTTCAACGTAGCCTCGGTCACCAGACCGAGGGTGCCTTCACTCCCAATAAAGAGTCTTGTAAGATCGTAACCAGCGCTCGACTTCCGTGGACGTTGCCTGGTTTTAATGATGGTCCCGTCGGCAAGCACTACCGTCAAAGAAAGCACCCAATCACGCATAGTGCCATACCTGTAGGCATTGGTTCCCGAACAGCCCGTGCCAATCATGCCACCGATCATAGCACCAGGGCCCGGATCCGGGGGAAAGAAAAGACCATCCTGAGCGATATGTTCATTCAGCTCCTCCCAGCCAACGGCAGGCTGGACCACGACGTCTAGATCCTGCTTATGGAGACCCAGAATACGATCCATACGACGGAAATCAATGCATACACCACCCCGCGTGGGCGCAAAATGGCCCTCCAAGCTGGTACCGCCTGAGTAGGGGGTTACTGGAATTAACCGCTGATGGCAAACCTTCATGATCCGAGATACCTCCTCCGTAGTAGACGGGTAGAGGATGAGGAACGGTCTTTCTCCCTCTTTCAGGGCGTAGGAAGACCAGTCGGAACCCGCATGCATATCCAAGTCGGCGTTTTGTGTGGAAACATTGTCTTTCCCTAAAATCTCAACGAAGTCCGCCCAAGCAGCCTGTAAATTTGAGGGAGAAACGTTATGTCGCGGTGACTGTATATCATAAACGGGGCTTGTTGACGAAGTGGGAAGCTCAGCAGGTTTCAAAGAGCCCAGATAGTAAGCCCCAGTGCAGAAGAAGGCCAATGCTAGCACAATAACATCAGCAATCAAGGTCTGGAGAGCTCCAGAGATGTTTATGGAGCGGGCCTCGGGCATTAGACATACCGAACATCAACGCCGCGTTGCGACTGCCCTGGGATTGGGACTGGAACTGTGAATATCGTTCCTGTTCAGCACGCTCACGTTTGAGGCGTTGCTGTGTACTTTCGTATAATTGATGCTTGAAGGACTGAGGTTTCTCATCGGCGCGATGGGGAACGGACCATTGCAAGCTTCTCCTCTGAGATCCTAAGCGTAACGGATGGCTGAAGTAGCACCCGGCCCTTGGGAGAAGAACGCGCATGGCGCCCCGCGAACGAAGGTAAGAATCGGCTCTAATCATGATGGGGGGTAACCGGCGACAGACAACATGGAACAGGGACCCTTGTTAAGACAGTAATTTTCTAAGGTGAAACCATCGCGTGGTAAACAGATGGATCCGCGATCAAGCCAGGCGCAAACTATGAGAACTGAGGGAGAGGCTGGCCGGCGGTACTGGGAGACGGAGGAACATGAGTATCCGGATTGATGGATGGATGGTAGAACAGATGGGTGGATGGAATGATTGCTAGCTAAGTTGGACTAAGCTTAATGCGGTAAGGCTGCGCTGCGGTAGCTCATCTACAAAATGCTAAAAAAGTAGTTCCTAATCAGATAGTTTACCAGCCAAGGCACTCTCTACTACCCCGTATGCAATGTACCCTTTTATTAAGCTACCCGAATAATGTATTGAGTTGCAATATAGTCGGAATAGGCCATACTCGCTTCATTACATACCAATAGGACTACCTACACGCAGTCCTTCATTTGAATGCCCGGTACTACTTCGTACTAGTTGTAAGTCAATCTACTACACGTCAGTCCGTTAGATTGTGCCAACCATGATTATCGGAGTGTACTGAGTATGCGCATTTCCCTCAGTCATTGGATGATTGTGGACCGAGTAAACCAGTCCATTGACCAGCCCGTGGTAGAAATTAGTTTGCTAATTATTCTACACCCGAGCATTGAAGAGTATATTTGGCTAGGTTAACTAACTACTTTTTAGTATTAACTAACTATACCACCTGAAATACTTACTAATCAATATAGCCGGTCAGCTGCCTTCTCCGGGTAAATTTGGCGCTGCGCCGGTTAATTCTGGACCAATGAAGGACTTCCCACCCCGCCCTCTCTACCCCATACCTTAGTACTTACGTCGATACCTCCTACCAAGCTACCCAAGATGGATCGAGAAGCAACAAAATCCCTAGGGTGACATATCCGAAAACTAAGAAAAGACCGAGGGAAAAAGGATAAATAAGGAAAGAAAGCGTAAATTTCGAAAGCTGAAAGTTCAGTGACGATATTCGTTTTTCTAGCCATACTCCAGCTCAAGAGCTTTACCTCCTACAACATCTCGAGTCAGCTGCTTTCTCGAGTCAGCTGGCTTTCTCCGTGTGCCTCTTTCTTTTCGCCCATCATGAGTACCCAGAATACCAGCGCTCAGGTATGTGCATTAAACATTCATTATATAGGGTCAATGGTGGCTCATCACACCCACCATGAACTCAAAGTGGCACAATTTGAATGATCGCTAATGACCCCAATCACTACCAGAATCTTTCCTTCGTTCTTGAGGGAATACACCGCGTCAAGTTCGAAGACCGGCCAATCCCAGAGATAAAAGATCCTCACGACGTACTGGTGAACGTCAGGTTCACTGGTATATGTGGTAGTGATGTGCGTATCACCAAAAGAATTGAAGGCCTGCCTAGCTGACATGTCGGATATTTTCATCCTCAAGGTTCATTATTGGGAACATGGCTCCATTGGCCAATTTGTTGTCAAGGATCCTATGGTCCTGGGACACGAATCTTCCGGTGTTGTCAGCAAGGTTGGCTCTGCCGTCACCAGTCTAAAGGTAGGAGACTGCGTTGCGATGGAGCCAGGAATCCCATGTCGCCGCTGCGAACCATGCAAGGCGGGAAAATATAATCTCTGTGTGAAAATGGCTTTCGCAGCGACACCTCCATACGACGGTACCCTGGCCAAGTATTACGTCCTGCCCGAAGACTTTTGCTATAAGCTTCCTGAAAGCATCACCCTACAGGAGGGTGCACTTATGGAGCCCCTTAGTGTTGCCGTCCATATCGTCAAACAGGCTGGGATAAACCCGGGTCAATCAGTGGTAGTCTTCGGTGCTGGCCCGGTTGGACTTCTCTGCTGTGCTGTGGCGAAGGCTTACGGTGCGTCCAAGGTTATCGCGGTTGATATTCAGAAGGGTAGGCTAGAGTTTGCCAAGAAGTACGCAGCAACGGCCACGTTTGAGCCAGCTAAAGCCGCGGCGTTGGAGAATGCTCAACGGTTAATAGCCGAAAATGATCTGGGCTCGGGTGCAGATGTTGCCATTGACGCTTCAGGAGCGGAGCCCTCGGTTCACACAGGCATTCACGTTCTGCGTGCTGGGGGAACATATGTCCAGGGCGGCATGGGCAGAAGCGAAATTACCTTCCCAATAATGGCGGCTTGCACCAAAGAACTGAACGTCAAGGGCAGCTTCCGTTATGGGAGTGGTGACTACAAGCTTGCAGTCTCCTTAGTAGGTAGTGGAAAGGTGAACGTGAAGGAACTGATCACGGGTGTTGTCAAGTTCGAGGATGCCGAGCGAGCATTCGAAGAGGTTAAAGCTGGAAAGGGCATCAAAACGCTTATTGGTGGTGTCGATTCATAAAATTTGTCAGACATTAGCAACATAGCAGACTGCAACCAGTTGCTTTGGACGTCAGTTATTCCTCACGCTTTCTACTTCCCTATCAGATGGCTTCCAGGATTGAGGTCTTTTGGATCACAGGATGTCAACTGCGAGGCATCTTTAGGCAATTGGTTCGGTCCAGAAAATATGATCATTCAACATATCTCTCGTGATTTTGAGAAACTATATCCCCGCTTCAGTTTGTGCTGGATATGACTTGGCCATCACAAGCCTGTGCGTCCGAAGTAGTCGTAACAAAGCTCTTGAGGATGGCTGGCTGGATAACACACCGCAATAACAGTTGATGACAATCAACTTCTGGAATGCATATTCAAACTCAAATAACTCGTTTATTGAACATGGTAGTCACAGTGCTTGACTATAGGGGGTATCATGCTGCACGAACCAAGCCTACTGGCCTTCAGTCACCTCACAAATAATGAGAGGTCAAAAAAGTAAGCTTTCGGCCGAAATGACGCAGTGCTCTTCCACGACATAATTTCGCCAACCGACCAGCCGTTCTGTAAGCAAAGTCAAGATGCGGTGAGCTCAGTTTATCGTGGCAGGTTAAGACCAGTGTCGTGTGTAATCACCGGAAAACATATGAAAGGAAAACCGCGAATAACAAAGCTGTTGATTAGTGGTAACTCGGGCCAAAGAATACTAGCAGCAGCCGCGACCTCTCCTGTGGTGCGAATCGCTCAAGCGAAATACATCTTCCCATTCCCTCATGCCAGTCTTCCAATTGTTAGTAGTATTCTTTCTTGGATGTCTGTGATGTAATTGGACAGCACCGTCGTCGAGCGACATGCGACTTCGAATGCTGGAACCATCGCTCGTGCCATGGCCATAGAGAGCCCCGTCACCGTATTGAATCCCGCTTTGGGGGTCGTCCGGGTCAATCTCGCCCAACTCGATCTTTGTGAGAATTATCCGGGCCAGCCGGTTGAAGAGCTCTTCTACGCCCTCACCCGTGAGAGCTGAGATCTCGACTGCAACAGGGATGTTGGACTTAGCCGCCCAGTGCGAAGTCTCTTCGGTACTGACCTCACGACCGTGAGGTGCATGCGTGGCCGTCATTCTCGTTGTGGTATCATAGTTTGAGCGAACGGAGCCGCCGCTTGATCCAAATGGAAAAGACACCTTGCTGGATGTACTAGACGGTGTGGGAGGTGGGCGTGCATTGTCATCAAGGGAATCGCAAGGTGGTACGGAGTCGGAGGCAAGGTCTGACTTATTACCGGCTAGTAGGACGCTCAGATTGGGGGAAGCAAGTGCACGTGCATCCATGAGGAACGTGGGAAGAGAGACAAATGACGCGTGAGATGTTATATCATAGATGAGAATGGCCCCTGCAGCTCCTCGGTAATACGACCTGGAGACAGATCGAAACCTCTCCGTTCCAGCGGTATCCCACAGCTGCAATTTGATCCGTGTTCGTCGCGGCCCGGTGCCTAATTTGACGATCTTCGAGGAGAATTCAACCCCAATTGTTTGAGATGACAGCACTCGCCCTAAGGTAGAAAGGCATATTAGCGAACGCGTCCAACTCCGGGATGAGCGTGGGAAACCGGGAGGGTTGGCATGGGTTTGTAGATGGGGGTGATGGAGTTCCAATCAGAGATAGGGTACCGTACATTCGCTCTTCACAAATCGGTGTAACACGCAAGACCTGCAATAACGAAGATATCAGTGACTGACGAAGCCTGAGGAGGTGTCACGGATCATTATCTTCAGTATGAGGACTTACTTTCCCGCCCCGCTCGGCCCTAGAAGAATGACCTTGGCCAGATAGTCATACATGCTCTCGAGCTCCTACATGGTATTAGATGCCGCTAATTGAAAGGGGCCTTATGATGGAAGCGGGCGCACTGATGGCGGAGAAAGATCAACACGATGGGATAGCGCCGCCATACATACCTGATTACTTTCGGGGAGAGAAGCAGTCGACGAAGCATTTGAGAGGTTCCTTTGACGCACCATGGCGCCAGAAACAAGCCATCTAATGGCCCGCGGAATGGTAAAGGGGTAAAAGAAGGAGGGCGGCGAAGAGTCTAGGTACTACGGCGGGTGGTACCTTGGTAGAAAGGACTTGCCCACGATTCGCCGTTCATGCGGGCTCGGGGTAAAAAGTACTAGTAGTGAGTGGTAGTACTAGTAGTAGTGGTAGAACTACTATCGGCATTCCGGCACCTGCCACGCCCCTGGCTTATTCACTAATCCACTTATCAAGCTGCTCTATCTTTATCTATGCAACCATTGACTACAAATTGTACTAGTTATGGATGTCGATATCTCCGAGGTCCTCAGCGGCGAGTTTTGTCCTTTTCATTCTCTATTCTCAGTCTTTTATTTACAAATGTAGTTCACCATTTCCTCGTCCGGAATCCAAGAATATGTCCCCCAGCAAAGCTGGAGTGCGTTCTAATAAGCCAACCATAACTGCAATGCATGTTTCCACCCCAATGGCCACTTCCACAGTAGAATTCACAATCACTCCCGGTCACCATACAGACGACAATTTCTCTGGCACACTGCTAGTGATGCCTTTCACACATGCGAATTATGGTTGTCCATCCTTGGCAACATGACCTATCCATGCGATGATTACACCAGCAGCACTGCACCGTAGTCGGAGATTGAGACCTTGCGGCAGAGGCAGGAGACTTGGTACTTGATGGATCGACACACTGTCCTGAAAAACTATTTTTGCGTATTTTTGAATCGATACATTCTTGGCCAGCACGTGGTTCACCCTTGTCAGTGGAGAGCTTATGCTCTTTGGCGACTGAAGATGTGCTCGGCGAAGTGAGTTTCGCATGCATTTTCGATGGCAGATCGTGCCAATGGCCGCAGTGACAGCAGATGACAAAGAGCATTTTAAACGGGCCGACTGTCTGTACATTCCTCAATTGCTCAATGCGTCCGTTCATTCGCCCTTCCGGCGTGTTGCATAAATCGGAGGTTGAAGCTCCCACACTGAGCGACACATCGTTGTCATTATTATCCAATGTACTTGGTACAGTGTCATCAGTGTGAGGAAAGCTGGCTGGGGCAATGCCATCCTGTCGAGGAAGCGAAATAGATGAGCAGGCTTCGTCTGCAGTGTTGTAATCTTCTGATCGTGGCTCTTCAGAAGATGCGGATTTTGACGAAATAGAACCTCTCCGTTGCGTAAGCTTGCTCTCATAAGGCATATGACAGGCTTCAGGTCTCTGCATCCTAGGAGCACCCTGAAAGCTCTGGGCTAGATTTTGACAAGCTTGAGTTCTATAACGCGGCGGAGTACCTTGAGATTCTAGGTGTCCGTCCCGACCTGCATGCTTCGCCTGGTAGACGTCTAAATCAGTTAGGCTGCCATTTGTGTTGTGAGTCCGAGAATCCGACTTCTCGGCTCCAGGCTCTCGGCATGTCACTGCATGGGCTTCATCTTGGTTTGTAAGAATGCGCTTGCTCAAAGGTGTTTGGAGATGGTGACTAGCCCACGTGTAGCCAACAACAGAGCGCTCCTGCGGGTTCCCAACGATACTGTGAGGCTGTGCAAGGTCTCCTTCGCCTTTATCCTCGTATCTCCCGGATAGACGCCTTGTAACATGTGGATGTGCCCGCTTATACTTGAGATCTATAGCCTTGATAGAATCCATGGGGTTTGATTTATCTTCGATAGGAGCTTGGAAAGTTGTTGTGTTTGAAGTCTCCTTAGCATTTGAAGACAGATTGGATCTGCTGTCCACAGTTGAGGCCACTGTAAGGGGTGATGAAACGTAGCTCTTATACTGTCTCTGAAGATAACGGTCCGTGGAAGTTCTGTTCGGTGCAGCCCTCAATGAATTGGCTTGTAAGTTAGTCGATGACAGTCCTAGTGAACTTCTTGAAGTCTTTCCACCATCAGCTGCCACCTGAGCTATCCGAGTGCTTTTGTAGCTACCGCGAGTATGCTTTTCCCGTTTATTCAGCAGTTCCGGGGAAGACACCGTCAATGACCGACGATGTCCAGATAACCTCACGCTGCCAGACTCCCTACTTTTAAGGTTGAGGGTTGCTGCGAAGGACAAGCGGTCCAGGTCTGTAGGGACAGGAAGACTAGGGGCTTTTGATGCTACCCTATGCGCGTTACTGTCGATGGTAACGAGGTGGTCTTGTACAGGGCTTTGTTCGTGCGACAAATTGTTTTCGATACTGCGAGGATCAGGCCCGGTAGAATCATTTGCCTTAGATTCTGTACTGGTAGGGTTCGCCGGCATTAGCTCCCGCATGGGCGCAGGCTCAGGTTGGTATGGGGCCAGCGCGTTGTTGATGGAGAGCTCTTTGGATATCACGGCGCCGAAGCGATCAGGCATCTTCACAGCAATGTGAGATCGAGCTGCGTGCGGTCCCGAGTGCAGTCCAGATTGTGATTTTTCGGCGTCAGCTGGTAGTTGAGTTGGATAATCTCCGTCACTTCTGCTTAGGGAATTTGAACGTGACCGGGAACCTCGCCTCGAACTTGAGAAGAGAGAAGAGAATCGGCGTGATGGGCGAGACTCATCTTCACTCACACTCGATGCCCTACTTGAGCTTCTTATAGGTTGTTTTTTGGTAAGGCGCCGGGACTCTTTCTGCTGTTGGCTTATCCCATGGCGTTGCTCGCTCTTTTCGAGGTTAAGAAACCTCTTCTCAAGCTCCAACCTTTCTGCTTCTAGGCGCCTTGTAGCCCTTCTTTCATTCCTGTCCGTCGCCTTGTTAATCGAAGTAGCGGGGCTGAATGACCCGTGCTTGCCAGAAGACATATCCATGAGGGAGGATGAGTCGGACAGTTGCAATGTTCCCTGGCTGATAGTGTGTGCTGATAACTTCACGAGCTCATTGTCAACCAAACCCGGAAAGGTTGGACCTTGGGCTATACGTGGACCGACATCTTCATTTGTTCTTATGAATGATGCGGATCGACTTGTACTGCCGCCTAGGCCAACCTCGTCTGTCTGCTGTGTCCCCTCTCGCTCTTGCCCAGGGGTCCTTATGGTTCGAGCCTCTATCGCATCCGACGATCGCCTGCCCCTTTCCTTCTTTGAGGTATTAACATGAGGCACATCTTGTCCCAACAAGGCAGAGGGTTAAGATAGGTAGGAGGAAACTGGTGTATTGGCAACTCGCTAGGACGATGACCAAAAAAAAAAAAAAAAAGAAAAAAAAAAGGAAAAGAAAAGAAAGAAAGAAAGAAAGAAAGAAAGAGAAAAAAAAGAAAGAGAAAAAAAAAAAAAAAAAAAAAAAAACCCTTACATTCACATGTTTATCCAAATGGAAGACCCGTTGTAGCTGCTGTGAGAGAGAAGACCTGCGCTGTCTTTTAGTAAGTCCTTTTTCACTGCTGTCCATCTCGGCCGCAATATAGTGTCTCTCGCGGGGAGATTCATGCCAATGCTCATTGCCCGTGAATATTTATCATCACCAGTGGCCGACTGTGACTCGAGAAATAGTTGATGGGAGACTAGGATTGTCCTCGATTGAAAAAGGATGACTGCAGCTTCGAGCGCATGTATATAGTGAGTGTATGTGTTGTGTAACAACAGTGACTAATTGGTAGCCAGCAAGATGGACGGATGAGATTCAGGACCGCTCGAGCACTCTAGAGCACATCTTTATGCATCTGAGCAGCTCCACCAGGTACTAAGTCAAGAATCAAAGAGATGAGCATGTGCTTGAACTTGAAAGAAGATCATTGCGCAGGCCAAGCAAACAGGTAAGTCGGCAAGGGGCCATCGATCAAGCAGTCATAACCCAAACCAACTTGAAGTGAAGGGTGACGGTCGCACATTCAACTGGACACTGGGCGGGCAGTAAGTAAGAGCACTTAGGCGCAAGGCAAACAGAAATTAAACGAGCTTACTACTGGGTCTAGTGAAACCTCAGCTGGTTGCTGTAGTCAGGCACGGTGGGGGGTAGGGCAGGCATTGTCGAGCCTATGCCTCTTCTGGACTATACATGAAAGGCTGCATCTGAAACAACAATCCCTAATTAGTTATCAATCATAAAAATCCAAGACCGATTTCCTCCTCACTTTTCCTACTCATACCGCTTTTTCTTTCATAACGATCCCAACATAGTGTGCGTCTGCCTCCCTTCATCCACAACAAATCCCTCCCCGCAGTCCCAATGTGGCTGGCTCCACGGGGTTATTTAAATTTAGTAACGGGAAGGGTCCAACAACCACCTAAGCAGAAATGTTTGTATGTCCAACTATATATGCTTGCAGTAATTATATATATAAACATATATTAGAAAGGACAGTGTAACTGTGTTCCATGCTTAAGCGAAAAGATATCAATGCCTATCTGCTCTTTGTGAGCACCTAACTCCGGTGCATCCATTCTGCTCCTTTGGCTTAATCTTGCTTTCTGACTAGAAATCAGCAAAGTGTGAGCTCATGGTTCAGCATAGCCACCCGCGCGACACCTGCCCCAATAGAGCATCCCTACATTAGCCTGCTATCCTATATCAACAGCTGTCACTCCCACATACGATATAGATTCAACAATATCAATATATATGAGTCTCAAACGCGATCATCAAGGGCAATTCTTCCTGTCTATTTTGGTCTAATTGGTTTTTTACGCTGCAAATGGCGGACCGCTCTAAAGCCACGTCTCAAAAAGCACAATCTGAGTATACGATGCCTATTGCCTCACCCCCGCCATATTCTGCTTCTGCAACTACTGGAACCGGAAGTCAAGGGCCCCTCCTTTATCACAACTGGCAGGAGACTGTGCCCGATACAGCAACGCTTCCACCGCCACCGATCGCTGGGTTTTTCTCCTCAAGTACAGGAAATGCCTCCTGCGACGATGCAGAGCGTGCCCACGCCTTTTGTGATAAGCTTCCCCTGAATATTCCCCGCAAGCCATCTGATGCTCTGTACAGATCTGCTCAGGAATACGATCTGAACCCTGCAGAGTCACCAAGGTTTGGTGGGAAGCTATCCGTTGTCAACAAGGGGTACTGGAAAGGTTCCACAAGAGATGGGAATGTCGACTGTCTTCTAACTACAGATTTGCCCCTCTACTTCTCCCTCAAGGATTCTCCATTGCTTACCAAAACAAGTAAAACCATTTACTTTGAAGTAAGACTGCTTGGCCTCCGCGTAGGTCCGCAAGGGCAGTCTGCCGAGGCCAGCGGGTTCTCTATTGGGTTTGTGGCACAACCATATCCCAACTGGAGATGTCCAGGATGGGAAAGGGGTAGCCTCGGCGTCTTCTCTGATGATGGTTGTCGCTTTGTGAATGACTCGTGGGGTGGGAAGGGGTTCACGAGCAAGTTCAATGTAGGAGAGACAGTTGGTTTGGGGATGACATTTCACTTCCCCACCATGGCCACCTCGGTTTCGGTGGGTGCAGACGCGAAGGTTGATGTCGATATCTTTTTTACCCGTGACGGTCAGAAAGTCGGGGGCTGGAACCTTTACGAGGAGTTGGATGAGGATTCTGGAGGGGTAGAGGGTCTAGGAGGAGATTTCGATCTGTATGGCGCCCTCGGACTATTCGGAGGTGTGGATTTCGAGGTTTTACTCAATCCTGCAGATTGGTTATGGGCTCCTGGAGAGGACACCTAATTGTCGCCATTATGTGCCTTACATTGCTCCGGTAAACGCAAGCCAATGCATGTAACTCTGTCTTAGTGAACGTTCACGGAATGTTAGCAATTTACACCCTGGAAGAGTAAGCGAGGAATTGTTTCCTTCAAGGCCTCTTGACACAGTAGAAAAACGCGTAATACGGCAATGTGTTTCGATCATTCTAAGTTGCCTGGTCACCTTAGCTAGCAGTCTATCAGAGTCACAGACAGGAAACTAATAGCTGTGACATAGTTAGGCACAGAAGACGAATGATGATATAGAAGCGTATTACCCAGACAAAGGCGTTTTATGAACGGAAAAAGATCGCCATATACATCCTTGCCGGTTGTAATACAAGCTACTAGACTACACGCATGACAGAACACCGTTGGTGCCGTGGAGATGTTCTAGAAAGACACATGCAGAAATGGCTTGGGGAAGAGAGGGTGTACCCTGTTGATACACACACATTAGTGTATCGGGGGGAAGCATAGTCTGCATCCCCGTCATTGCCTGGGGATGCTTATGTTACCAATAGGCCTGGTCCAGAACAAGGGAGCCTCAAAGTCATCCGATTGATCGCTGAGGGGGCTTGCCTTGCTTGAGCTGGAGGGCCGGAGGGGAGGGAAATTGACATCATAAATTTGAAAATCAGTGCCACTATATGCAAGTAACTAGCGGGTACTGGATTTCCGAACTACCTAGGATAGAGCAGGGGTGAAGATGTTTGTTCGGAACCTTGACTGCATTAGAGAATGATATGCAAGGCATTGTAACTCCCTGACCTCATGATGCATATGCTAGTCTCTTAAGTGCCATAGGAAAAGACCGCCCGTTTCGGAGGTCGATGAGTGTTTGTTATCATATGTTGTCGGGGAGGGAGAGAGAGGGAGGGAGGGAGAGAAGTGTGTGTTGGAGAAACGGTCAGTCTGTGTCATTAGACAAAGTCATGTAGCACAGGAAGCTGATAATTATTCGCGTAGCACAGTCCCCATCCAGTGGACTGACCAACCCCATCCAGAACACTTTTATAAGTCTATGGGTAGTATAGAGGCATTGCTGCAGCTCATGGCGTTTCTAACGATCTCACAAATGTTGTAGGAGATTTCTGCATAGGGGTGCTTGCATGTCATTGAGACCAGAAGCTGGCTTGCTGCACAGAGCCAGCCACAGACCCAGTCCAAGGATAGTTCAACTGTTGATATTGCTGCGCCGAATTGGCCCCAACGGCTGTGCAGGAGAAGCATCGGCGGGTTGTGATACTCAACCTATCTAGTGGCAGTAACCATAGGCAAAATAATAATCATTATAATAAAGACTGCAATAATAATAATGTAATAACAACAACAATACTCGCTTCATACCTTCATGAGTTTCGGACTCCTTCCGGAAACTCCGTTCTGCACCCCGTGAAAGCCACGCAGAGCATTTGCTTTTGATTCTCCTGGAGGCTTGATCAAGCCAAACAAGCCCGAGTGACTATTCGGGTAGTAGTATTCGCACAACCGGCATAGAAGTCACTTAAACGAGGCTAGTCCAGTGGAAATCTAGCTCATGCCTAGTTTTAGCTGCTGGATTGACTCGATTAGCTGCAAAAGTGGTGCAGTAGTCAACGTTGCTAACGCCTTTTCCGTGGGTAAGCAGGATGGCCTGGCCGAGCTTCAGGCCCGCAGCCGAACCTCACACGGGCCACCAAGAGCGAGGTCGTCGACTCCCGCGCTCAGCCTATGATAGCACGGCAGCGTTCCACAA